AACACTTGTTTATCCACAAGGTTCATTCTCAGAATCTGAATTTTAAAAATAATAAATTAAATTTAAGTGATATTTAAAACCACTATTATTAAGCTTTCGATTTGAAGATTTTTTAACTAAAAACGGTCCATTTTTAATAATTGAAATCCTTAAAAATATATTAATTTAAATAAATAAAGTTAAAGTAATTAAATTTACTACTATAAAGTACTACTATAAAAATAATATAAAACTGAACAATTAAAAAGAACACAGGGGGTATACGAGGTCGTATTAGAACATATTTAAATAGGAATGTCGTTACTCAAAAAGTTGCAATAATATAATTATATAAGGTATAATTCTTAGTAAAACGTAAAATAAAAAAAATATTTATTGTACATTTGAGTAAAACAATAATTTGAACTAGAACGTATATGTATAGTGTAACTAAGGTTACTATCAAATCTTATGAATAAATAAATGAATATCAATGATTAAACCACTCTATGTGTTAAATCGTAGATTATTTACTATTTACATGTTAAATGATTATGATTTAAAGGTAAAACCGATGTTAAATAAAAATCTTATCTAGTCAATGATGACGCCGTTATTTTGTGTGAAATCACAAATAGAAAAGTATAGACACATACTATAAGAAAATATTGTCTGTATGAAAAATATATTTCATATAATCTGTAGTATAAGGAGAAGAAGAAGTTTTGTATGATGTTCATAAATTTGGAGAAGGCGTATAAGAAAATGCCAAAAGAAGTTTTTATTACCACTTTAAAGTAGACTTTAATCAGAAAAATAGACCAAAACACGTGTACTGATGTAATAGAGAATATGTATGAAATAGAATAAAGTCATAACAATGAGTGTATGATGTACTTGTACTAGAGTATAAAATGTATGTGAAGAATCAGACGATTTCAAAATGAGATTAGGTGTGTATCAAGTTTTTGCTTTAAGCCCTTATTTATATTCTATAATGACGAATGAAATTACTAAAGATATACAATGAGAGGACCTTTAGTGCATGTTGTTTGCTGATAATATAGTGTTAATAAAAGAAAATAGAGAGGAAGTTAACCAAAGGCTTGCAATGCGGAGATTAGCCCTTGAAGAAAAGGGATTAGGAATTAGTTGAAAAAATAAAGAATACATAGAGTATGAGTTTGATGAAAGAGAACACGAGAGTAATGAAACGAGGAAAATAATGACAATAAACAAGGACGTGATAGGTGATAGAAATAGAAGATTTTAAATATCATTTGTTCAAAAATGTGGTTTGACAAAGATGCAAAATATAGGCTCAAGTGTGGGGGGTTAAGTAGTGAGAAGAGTATGGTGTTTTGTGTGATAGGAAAATCCCAATAAGACTAAAAGGTAAATTCTATAAGACAATAGTTAGACTAATTACGTTGTATGGGTTAGAGTGTTGAGCGATTGACAAAAAAGTAAAGATGAAAATGCTTAGATGGATGAGTGGAGTAACGAAAGAAGATAGGTTAATGAATGATTATGTTAAAGGAAACTCATATTTAGCTGGTCATATTCATCAGCAGTAAACACTTACATGTTTAACACTAATGAGAGTAACATTGTCCCCGAAATACGCATACTACACGAATCTTTAGTAATATTTGTAGCTTTTCAAGATAAGTATTTTTAAAAATTATTAATTTTAAATTAATATTTTAAATTTTATAATTTTATTTTGGTGAATCCAGAGTAAATTTTAAGAATATCGATATCGACTATAAAGAATCCCTCAAAAATATTATTAGTAAAATCCTAGTATAATATGAAAATATTTTAAAAAGTATATACATTGGTTATAAATGATAATAGACGTAATTCTCATTAGAGAGCACCTTATATGTGCGTATCGTAAACGACGTAAATTATTGAGATAATAAAAAAAATAACAATTTGAAATTTAATATACACATAAGTATAATAAAACGAGAATACAATACAACGACTAACAAACACGTCTATTATGGTGAGAAATTAAAATAAAACCAATACAAGCAACCACAAAAGAAAAATAAGGTAAATGCGAACAATTACATGCTTTATTCCTTAAAACTTTACGCGATAAACTAGGTACAAAAAGAAGGTAAATTGGGGATGTTTTTGTTCAGCCGTTTAACTCGAACTAAAAGTTCTACACATATTAAACCCCCAAATGCTCAGCAAATCCCTATATAACCACTTTTTATTAAGTCTAGTCCATTACCAAACTTATTTATAACATCAATTATTTATTTCTCTTTAATTTTGTTTATCACAATTTTTAAAAGACTAGTACATAAACCACGTTATAGCTATTGAGTGATGCTAAGAGAATTTCGATTTCTAGTTTTAGTATTGGACTTGTAACAGTATAAATAGTTGGCAATTATAACTTCTCACTATTTATGTAGATAATCGAAAATTACTTTACAATTTATAACTTTAATTTACATTTAAAAGCCATGACGTGTTTTTATATACTTATTACTTAAAAAACACTAACCCTCTTCGCGTAATCGAATAAAACCACTCTACTTTTTTAGATAATTTATTTCTGATAAGGAAGAAAAACGTATTTATTTTTTCCCTTATTTTTTTAACTCATAGTTTGAAAATAGATAATCTCAAACAAATACTTAGATTCTAAATAAAATGTTATGTATATCCCCCGCCATGAAAAAATCCTGAGTACGTTGCTGTGGGTCAAGACATGTTTGAGAAATAGAGGTCATAGGGAAGGGATATAGCCTAAAAATACTAATATGAAGGCAAATAAAGTATTATAGTAAAATATTTCATAGAAGTGTGTTTAAACAATACATTTTCTAATTTAAGTCTTTATTGATTTAGAAAAGTTTAGGAATATTTAATGTTGTTAATAAAGCAATGCATCCAATTTAGCAAAGATGTTTTAGTAGCGTATGATAAATTTGAGAAGCCAGCAACTTTATGAAGTCCAAAGAGTTTCTCTTATATGAGTAAGATTTGCCTTTTTTGATAAAATATTGATACTTATTCATATTTCTAGAGACAGGTGCGCTCTTTATGAAGTTGGTGTCGCTTTTCTCTCTTATTTTTTCTTCCATCTTTCTCTGTTATCATATTTTTGACGGTGAATGTATTCTACCAGGAAAGATAAGTGTGGCACGCTCAAATTTTGTAATATTTTTGCATAAATACATAAATATTTATAGTGTTTTTTTAGTATATACTTTCATTCGATTATTTTTTTAATATCGTACAAATTATACATGATTAAAACGCGCTATGGAATCATGGGGTGCTGACTGATGTGTAGATGATGGTGTGGAGTTTGTAGTGGAAGAAGGAAGAAACACACGTTATCGTTTGTGCGAGCTACAGTTACTATAACCACTGTTGTGGGCCACCAGCGTGTGTTTTTAATTTTCATCAACTGACTGTCGCAACGACGTTAATAACACGAAAAATTGGTTTTTATCACTTTTTAAACGTCCTTGAACACTTATATTCTATTATTCAGTCATTCGACTTGGTTCTGTTCATTAATTGTTTTCTATCTCCAATTAACCTCTTTATCTTAAATTCTGGTGGGATACGTACGACTGAATTACTTTGTAAAAACGTACTACTCGAATAATCATATAACGGCAGATATAGACTGTCAAAAATGGGACGGGTGATTACCAACAACATGCTTTTTCATGTATGTATTGATGAAACGTGAAAGTGTTTTCATGATAGCTACTGGACAAGCTGCGGTAGTCCGACATCGAAATGGCTCAGCAGCAGCAGCAGGTTCAGACTAAGTTATTTACTTACTCAGTGATTGAGCGAAAGGACGAAATTGAAGAGGTGTGTTAAAATCAATTCTGGAAAAAAATAAAACTATATAATCTAACCCTTTTTCAGAAATATGAACGATGTTATGTTTCACTTCAAAGCATCACTAACAGTCTTAATGATCGAGAATATCATGATGCACTTACAAATCACATTAGTAAAGACAAAAGTCAAGAAGAAATTGTTAGTCTTGGGCTGCTGACTGCTATATTATTAGAACCTAAAAATGCCGACAAGGTATGATATAATCAAGATGTTATAGACGTGTTTAATATTTTTGACAAGCTACCTAATTTTTAAAAACTATATGGTATGCATGTATTGTTACATCCATGTAAACATCAAGTAACTCCATTTTTAAATATCATTTTTTATGATATCAAAATATTTTGAATAATTTATGTTAATTTAAATTATTTGATTTTGAAATTTTATTTGAGATACTTAAATTTATTAATATTTACTAATCTACTTTATATGAGTTAGTTAATGTAATATGATAAATTTTAAAATAATACAATATTTTTAATAAGTGTAATATTATTGATCGAGCATTTTTGTAATTACAGATTTATAGAGATCTTACATTATTATCACGTGATGGTCTTCAAAGTGTTATTGCTCATTTGCAACAATTTACATTAGAAAAATGGAGTCGACTTCTTGATAATCCAAGAAAACAACTTCTCTGGTTAGTTCGTGAAATGGTGCGTAATAATATAGCTGGAGTTGATAATTTATGTTGGAATTTAATGAGAAATGCTGCAGGTGGTGATGTGTCTCCATCTAATGTAGCACTTATAGAATATTTCTTAGATCTATACCAAGACCATCGGTAAATAATAAAATTGAACCAGTTTGTTTTAAAAATTATATTTTTTGAAAATTTACTTTCAGAAAATGGTTAGAAAGATTTCCATGGTTAATAGCGTCGGTTGTTTATTCTTTTTTACGTTTCATTGAAGATCATAGTAACCTGATCCCCTTACGAAATAAAGAAGTAGCTTTTACAATATCTCTTTTAAGAGATCGGTTTACTGACTGTTTAGTTATTGGTCGTGATTTAGTGAGACTCCTGCAAAACGTCTCAAAAATACCTGAATTTGAGGCATTATGGAAAGATTTATTATATAATCCTCATTCCTTAAGTACTAGTTTAACAAATGGTAACCACAAAAATATTATTTTTTAAATTAAATATTTTATTAAATTTTAACTTGATTTATTAAAATATTAATATCGCTTGATTAAAATTTATTCAATATTTTCAGGTGTTATTCAAATTTTAGAAACTAGAACATCTAGACGATTTTTACAATCTAGGTTAACTCCTGATATGGAGCGTAAGTTAGTTTTTTTTACTTCTTCTGTTCGTTTTGGTCATCATAAACGTTATCAAGAATGGTTTCAAAACAAGGTATTTAACATATCAATTATTTTATATATTTTTTATTTAATTATTAAAAATATAATGTTGAACATTATTTCAAGTTCCTAAAAGAATTATAATTCAATTATGCATAAAGAAATACTATTGATCATGAGTTTAACAATTTGAGTAAAACTTGGGCATGGCAAATTAGTATTATGATTATTTCGTCATAATTATTTTTATTTTTTATGTTATAATTATAAATGTAAAAAAATTCAGTCACTCAGGGTTTTTGTGAAAAAATACCTAACATAAACAGTCAGAATCTTACTCTTATCTACAGTAACTTATCACATATTTTCTGGCAGTAATTTAGAGAATAATTTGAGTTTAAAATTACTATTTCCATTTTTAATGTGCATAAAAAATTATAATTTCAAAATTATCATGTCTTGAAAATTAAAAAAAAAAATTTGCCTTACTAGCTAATATTATGTAAATATAATTTTCTTAATTGATATCATTTTATCAAAAAAAAAAATTATTTTCTAATTTCAGTATTTAAATACACCTGAAGCACAATCCTTAAGAAGTGATTTAATTCGATTCATTGTTGGTCTTATACATCCAACTAATGAACTATTATGTTCAGATATTATTCCTCGATGGGCAGTTATTGGATGGTTAATTACGTCATGTACATCAAATATAGCTTTAGCCAATGCTAAAATGGCATTATTTTATGATTGGGTTTGCTATGATCCCAAGCATGACAATATAATGAATATAGGTGAGTCAATTTTTATTTTTCTTACAAACGAAATAAATTAAATATATTGGATATTTATTTGTATACTTTTTAGAGCCTGCTATTTTGGTAATGCTTAACTCATTAAGAATTCATCCTACTGTAACAGCAAGTTTATTAGACTTCCTATGCCGAGTAACTATCCATTTTGTCTGTTTTAATAAATAATATATTGATTATTAACAAATTTATTCAATTTTAATTTTTTTTAGCATGTTTTGGCAATTCAATGTTTTGAAGAGCCAAACCCTCTTTGATCATTGTTTGATTGCCTACAGTATTGATATAGTCTTTTTTATATTATAAATTCATATAAATCTGTTCCTTATTGATAAATAATTTATTTCGAATAATTTTTAATTTATGATTAAAAATTATTAGTAGCTGTAGGCAATTGAACATGTTCTTTAAAGAATAAGTATCAAAAAATATTAAATATTTTTGGATACTTTTTTTTAAAGAACATTAATTATCAATATTCTGTAACATTATTTTAAGCTTAAAATTGTTTTAACTTATACTGACATTTTTATGTACCAATTATTTATTCTTTGTAGATTATTCCTAATTTCTATCCTGCCCAATCTGAGCGCATACGCAATGGTATATTTGTATCTTTACGACAAATTCTAGATAAAAGAGTTTTACCATCATTAGTACCATTGTTTACAAATCCAAGACTTGATGGTGAGTTAAGGGCAATGATTCAAAATAATTTCCGTGAATTCTGTGATCCACCTGCTGTTGAAGGTATATATGGTGTTATTTTTAAATCATAAACAGTGGTGCCACTATTGAAGGTGCTTTAGTTATACAATTACTTTTTACTATCTTTTAATAAATAAAATCATTATGCTGAATTGTGACTACTTGTTTATTTGTCAAATATTTGATATTAGTTAATTTTTACAAAATAGAGGTTATGGGTTACTTTTATGAATACTTGTTATATGTCTACTTTTATACAATTTATGTGATACATTTTTTGAGTATATTGAAACATTTCAATATTCTACCAGAATTGTATGCACAGTTATATAGCTGTATATAAATTGTGTTTATTAACTGCTAACAAATGTAAAATTAATAGTTTTTGATAGGTAGTTGTTGGTTAATTTTTTTTGTTTATTATACAAATAAATATTAAATTATTTAGGAGAGTTAGTAATGTGATGATTGAGGGTGTAGAAGGCAGATGCCTCATGACTATTGCACAACTTTAGCATCCCCAAGATGTTTGCTTTAGTTGCGCCACTGACGATAAGACATACATACAAGTTGTACTGTTATCTTTTCTGTTAAGGTGCTGCGTTAAAAGAAGATGATATGAAAGATAATATATGTATATCACTTAAGGAAGAAATGTCTGGGTCTGAGAATGAAGATGTGACTTTTAGCGATGAAGAGTCAGAATCAAGTCCAAAAAAATTAATCATGATTGAAAATAATAGTTTACCTATCATAAAACCTTCAGGTATGTAAATAAATATTTTATTATTATATGAATTGACTGTTATATTTTTAATATTCTAATTAACGACATATTGTTTGTTTTCAGCAAAAGTAAAACTGAAAGATAAAAATTCATTACCATTAGACTTAGATAAAGAAGCTTTACAGACCTTGGGAAAAGAATTAAGGCTCGAGACTGAAAACTTATTCTTTGAAAAAGATAATGAAAGAAAATGTGAAGCTATGGAAAAAATTGTGCAACTAATTGTTCAAGATGATGAAATATATCCCGATATTTTAGCTGCATTAGGTTCATGTCTTAGTTGCCTATTAAAAAATCAAATTGAAGAAAAAAATTTTCCTTCAATATGTAATGATGAGTAAGTTCATATTAAGATGTCAGCTATAAATATTAAAGAGTATTTGGAGTTTCTATACTAGCATTTTATAAGAAGCAAAGTTTTATTTTTTGTACCTATTTAGATAAATAATAAAAAAGTGAATCTTTACTTGATAACAAATTGTGATGAAGGAAAAGCTCTTTAGTTACAAAAGTTACTCATAAGTAGCTTGTGATTTAGCTTAATAATTTAGAATAAGCAAGAAAAAATTTTACCTTTATACTACATATTTATAATGAATTTTGTTTGTATTATATATATTTAATATTATATATATTTTTGTTTATATTATATAACAATTTAATCATTTTCTACAGCAAAAATTAGTATTAAAAAAAATTATTTTTTAAAATAAAGAAGGTTTTAAATATTTGATAATGTTATTAAAATTCTTTTATTAATAATTTTAGTTAATAGTATTCATTTAATAATGTAATTTATATTAAAAAATTAATTTAATTTTTATGTATTTTTTAGTGCATTAGAAGATAGTATTGGAAAACCATTATTTGTCATGTTTCGTAGTCTTACCCAATTTTCAGAAGATGACTCTCGAAGGTTACAATTACTATCAGTTTTAGCTGAAATGAGAACTCATCAAACACGTATTGGTTATTTATTACTTTACTACCTACAAGTTATTAGCACAATAAATATAAACTCTGATAGAAAAACTAATAAGTAAGTTAAGACCTAGTAATTTTTTTAAATTACTTTTTTTTTTAATCATTATTTTTAATTTCAAGATGTATTAAAACAAATGTTTACAAAGAATTTTGTGAGACACAAGAAATTGAATTAAATGAATGCCTTTTGAGTGATCTTCAATTGTGTCAAGATGATGATTTCTCAATGTTTTGTTGGCTTGTTCCTGCTGTATTTAACAACTTCTCTAAAATAACGATAGGAAATGAGGAATTTTTACATTTAGTGGTATCTACAGTTGACGGCGCACAAATTCAAGAAATTATTTGTTTGATTTTACAAGGTAAATCTAGTGAAGCTTATATTTAGACACTTTTTGTAAGTAGGCGTTAAATTTTATAATTAATTAATTGTTGATTTTACTGGAAAATTACATTGCATATTATCAATGATGTTTTCATAGGTAGTTATTATTTAACTGTGATATGAATTTGAGAGTTACATTTACCACTGGGTAAAATTATTATTATTAATTTTGTTTCCTAAAAATTACAATTTTTGATTTGACCACCTCACAAAAACCATCTATATAATTATAAAAAAATATTGTGCAAAAAGAAATTCTTTATAGTTCCTAAAAATTACATTCATTGTTTTTGTCTTAAAGAATTTAACTTTTATTTTTTAGTATAAAGAATTTGATTTTTTTAGTTTAAACAAAGTTAAATGTTATTCATTATAAATTTTATAATTATAAATATTTAAAATATAAATGTCAAATCTTTAATACTTACAGGGAAATTAACTATGTTGAGAGCTGAATCAATACCATCATTAATTAACTGCTCATTAAATTGGGAAACCATAGAACAGTATTTTTTCTGGCAGCTAATATCTGCACACGATATAGATATTAAAGTGATATTAACTAATATCACTAAATTAGATTTTAACAATCATTCTGAAGCTTTGACTAGCATTTTACTCATTCTAAAAAGAGAAAAGTAAGTTTTTTTATAGTGTGTTGCTTTTTAAAATTACTTAAAATGTAAGAGTTATCTACTTGAATTACAGAGCTATACAGTTGTTATTAACTCTCAGATTATTATCCCTAATTTAGGTTATTTATATATGTATATAAATCAAATATATTACACAAATGATCTAGTTAAATATGGTTTATCTTATTAATATCCAATATGCATTTTTTTTTATTATTATTGCTTTCATTAGTCTATTAAGGGCCATAGCAACCTTCCCCTAGGAGGAGGTTTCCTTAACAATTCATACTCCGGGACAGGTGGTTAGTCCGTTGCCAGAGAGTGGGATAGCGACTCTAATTATCGAACTGATCTCTCGTTCTGCAAATAAAGCCGCTCGTAATCAAGTTTCAAACCCTAGGCAGTGCGTGTCAAACATTGCCACGTTACCGACTCATCCACACCATCCCACTATCNAGTTTCTATACTAGCATTTTATAAGAAGCAAAGTTTTATTTTTTGTACCTATTTAGATAAATAATAAAAAAGTGAATCTTTACTTGATAACAAATTGTGATGAAGGAAAAGCTCTTTAGTTACAAAAGTTACTCATAAGTAGCTTGTGATTTAGCTTAATAATTTAGAATAAGCAAGAAAAAGTTTTACCTTTATACTACATATTTATAATGAATTTTGTTTGTATTATATATATTTAATATTATATAACAATTTAATAATTTTGTACAGCAACAAATTAGTATTAAAAAAAATTATTAATAATTTTAGTTAATAGTATTCATTTAATAATGTAATTTATATTAAAAAATTAATTTAATTTTTATGTATTTTTTAGTGCATTAGAAGATAGTATTGGAAAACCATTATTTGTCATGTTTCGTAGTCTTACCCAATTTTCAGAAGATGACTCTCGAAGGTTACAATTACTATCAGTTTTAGCTGAAATGAGAACTCATCAAACACGTATTGGTTATTTATTACTTTACTACCTACAAGTTATTAGCACAATAAATATAAACTCTGATAGAAAAACTAATAAGTAAGTTAAGACCTAGTAATGTTTTTAAATTACTTTTTTTTTTAATCATTATTTTTAATTTCAAGATGTATTAAAACAAATGTTTACAAAGAATTTTGTGAGACACAAGAAATTGAATTAAATGAATGCCTTTTGAGTGATCTTCAATTGTGTCAAGATGATGATTTCTCAATGTTTTGTTGGCTTGTTCCTGCTGTATTTAACAACTTCTCTAAAATAACGATAGGAAATGAGGAATTTTTACATTTAGTGGTATCTACAGTTGATGGTGCACAAATTCAAGAAATTATTTGTTTGATTTTACAAGGTAAATCTAGTGAAGCTTACATTTAGACACTTTTTGTAAGTAGGTGTTAAATTTTATAATTAATTAATTGTTGATTTTACTGGAAAATTACATTGCATACTATCAATGATGTTTTCATAGGTAGTTATTATTAAATTGTGATATGAATTTGAGAGTTACATTTACCACTGGGTAAAATTATTATTATTATTTTTGTTTCTTAAAAATTACAATTTTTGATTTGACCACCTCACAAAAATCCATCTATATAATTATAAAAAATTATTGTGCAAAAAGAAATTCTTTGTAGTTCCTAAAAATTACATTCATTGTTTTTGTCTTAAAGAATTTAACTTTTATTTTTTAGTATAAAGAATTTGATTTTTTTAGTTTAAACAAAGTTAAATGTTGTTCATTATAAATTTTATAATTATAAATATTTAAAATATAAATGTCAAATCTTTAATACTTACAGGGAAATTAACTATGTTGAGAGCTGAATCAATACCATCATTAATTAACTGCTCATTAAATTGGGAAACCATAGAACAGTATTTTTTCTGGCAGCTAATATCTGCACACGATATAGATATTAAAGTGATATTAACTAATATCTCTAAATTAGATTTTAACAATCATTCTGAAGCTTTGACTAGCATTTTACTCATTTTAAAAAGAGAAAAGTAAGTTTTTTTATAGTGTGTTGCTTTTTAAAATTACTTAAAATGTAAGAGTTATTTACTTGAATTACAGAGCTATACAGTTGCTATTAACTCTCAGATTATTATATCCCTAATTTAGGTTATTTATATATGTATATAAATCAAATATATTACACAAATGATCTAGTTAAATATGGTTTATCTGATTAATATCCAACATGCATTTTTTTTTATTATTATTGCTTTCATTAGTCCATTAAGGGCCATAGCAACCTTCTACTAGGAGGAGGTTTCCTTAACAATTTATACTCCGGGACAGGTGGTTAGTCCGTTGCCAGAGAGTGGGATAGCGACTCTAATTATCGAACTGATCTCTCGTTCTGCAAATAAAGCCGCTCGTAATCAAGTTTCAAACCCTAGGCAGTGCGTGTCAAACATTGCCACGTTACCGACTCATCCACACCATCCCACTATCTAATATGCATATATATATATACATATGCATATTTGATATATATATATATCATATTTCTTTAATAAAATGGAGAATACTTTAATTTTATATATTTGTATAATGTAAAACTTCATTTATAAAATTTTTATTCAATTATATTATAATACTAATTTTTTTCTATTTTAATCTTAGGCCAACTCTAGATATATTGAAACCTGTGCTATGCAGGGAAATAAAACCTTTGAATGACCAATTTGTTGTATCTGTGATATCTAGTTGGTATTTAGAACATGGTGAAGTTGTGGCTAATTTAGTGTCTGAATTGTTAATTAGCCGATGTCCAATTGTATCACCAACTAAACGAAAACGTGGTCAAGGTAAAATTTTTAACTACTTGTTTTTATTTCTAGCATTTAATTATTATACAAATGTTTTTTAGTGATTTTAATAAAATTTTTGATTAATGTAATGCATTAAACATTTTGTAAATTTATGTTAATGGTTTGATTACAAAGACTTGATTAAAGGTAGCTTTAATGATTATATGCAAGTGGTTTTAATGATATTTCAAATAAAATACCAATTTTTTTTTTAGCTTAGATGCAAAGCTAAAAAGATATTAATTTTACTATGATGGGTTTTTTTTATGTCTGCTGCCATTTTTTCTCAGCTCTCACTGGACTGATTTATTTTAAAAATATATCAAAAGAACACAAATTATATCTAGTAGAAAACATTACACTTAAAAATTGAAAAAAATTCCTACGTTTTTTGTAAATGGGAGAAGTCCCCAAAAAAGTAACAATTTTTAAAATCGGTAAATTTTGAAATTTTTTAAACTTTCTTTTCTTAAAAATGCCATACATTTTTAAAAAATGGACAAATCAAAATAATTTTTTTTTATATTGAAACCTTAAGTATTTTCCTTTTATCAATGTAAACTTTTTGCAAATCTGACCCTTTACCTGCCCTCAGGGGGGATTCAAAATAGCAATTTCTAAACAAAAATTTAACTTGAGTTTTGAAAATGTTTCGGAAAACTCTGAGCTTTAATCATATGTTAAAATAAAGCATATGTTATTCACTATATGTTAAAAAAAAATTTGTTTCAATGTGCTACCATAGTTAAAAAACATGCTATTTTTGATTAAATTGTGTTTTTTTTTCATTTATTTTAAAATATCTTACAAAGGTTAGTCATAGTAGTGAGTTCACCAGTTTTTATAAAATTTACATGAATCTAATATATAATCAGTATAAATTTAAACATGTTTTGATTATTTTGCCTCCTCAAAGTTAAAAAAAAGTTGATTTGACTTTTTGAACTTGCTCAAATTGTCATTGTTAGCTATACCTTCATGTAATGGACGGTGGCTGCATCAAAAATATTACAATCTTCTGTAATTGGGGTACAAATTTCAAACCTCTCCTGTCAAAATAACTTTTTTGTATTTTTTTTAAAATTTTTTCTGAGATGGAAATTAAATTCAAAGTTCATTTGATTTCTATCTCATTTAAATTGTATAACTTCAATAAATATCAAGGGCATCCCTGTAGTCTCTTTTTGTGAAAAAGAATTTCTTATCATATTAAAATATTTTACTATATGGTTTTTTTTTGTCTGTCATTTATTTTTCTCAGCTCTCACTTAACCAATTTTTTTAAACAATAAGTCAAATTATCACCACTAATGTTTAGTTGAAAATATTACACTCCTTGATTTTGGAATAATCCACCAATTTTTTAAAATTAAACACTATCTCCAGATTTGCATTAAAGTGTTTCTTACATGTTAATTTTAATCACTGTTAGATATCATCTATAATTATGCCAATTATGCCACAACTCCACTGTGCTACCTTTTCTATTTTGTTTACAGTGTTTTTTGTTTATTAATGTTTTTATTATTAAAAAAAAAACTTAGATGTGTAATAAAAAATTTCATTTAAAACTAAAATGTATTTTCAAAAAATTGTTTAATTGTAGGGCAAGGCTTGGGTTCCAGAGGAGGTGTATCTCCACCAACTGCTGAGCGTATTTTAGGACATATGGAGCGTATTCGCAGCCAAGGTACATGTCCAGTTTTATTTCGTGCTGAAGGTATGCAAAAAGCTTTGCAAATAGCCCAAGCTGCTTGCACAGATACTCAGCGTATGCTCTTTAGCAATTTATTCCAGCTACTCGAAGAAGATGAACCTCATGTTCCTTCAACAATCAATAAAAATTCCACTAGTGGTGTTGGAGTAAAAGGTAGAGGTCGAAAAGCTGCTCCAACATTTGGTAATAGTACTAAGCGAAATGCTAAATCAGCTTTAAAAGACCGATTATCAGAAAGCTCTGAAGATACAAGTGAAGTATGTATTATTATTAGTTCATCTAGTTTAAGTTTTCATTGAAGTTCATAGTTGCAAAAATACGTTATTCTCTGAGTATTGAGTGACAATTATTCGTGTCATCCTTTTTTTGTCAATCCATCAGTCTTTTTCTGTGGGGTTTAGCTTAGTAATATTTTGTAATGGATTAATATCTTATGATATACTTCCTATTAGTTTTTAGCGCCAATTATGTATTTGAGTTTTTAATATACTTAGGTGCACTATATTCTTTAAGAGTTTTCTCCAAGAATAGCTAGTTTTTACATAAATATTTAATGTTTTAGGAGGAAGAAGTTATAAAGCCACGTCAAACTAAAAAACGACGGAAAATAAATACAGTTGCTTCTGACAGTGATTGATGTATGCTAATCAATGGAAGATTATTTTAATTGTGACTCTTTAAGTTATACTAATTTGTACAGATATTATTGTTGCCCAACAAATTCCCCCCTTTTTCTCCCTTTAGTGTAAAATTGTTATAAAAATAAAAAAACAAATGATAGGTGAAATTTTTTAATGTTACTAGATTAACATGTTGCTATGGTGTAGTTCATTATTTTTTATTGTTTGTAATATGACTGTCTTTGTACATACTAATATTTTCATTATAAATATAAGTAATTTAATTTTTACAATGAGTACAATCCATTTTATTAGTATGTATCCTAATGTTCAGGGACATCATTTAGGATTATGCTAGACAAGCAAGCTTTTGACTAACCCAACATTTTTATTTTTATTTTTTAGAATTTCAACATATATTAAATTTATATTTTTAACGCTTTTGATAGTTTGTAAGCTTCTGACATATTATTTTATTCGTTATTACACACGCACAATCATAACATCGCTTGATTTAAAATCAAATGATAACTGATAACAGATGTTAGAACTAATTATGGTTACTGTAACATGGTGATTTTAAAATTGCGCAATTTGTCAAAAGTTATCGTGGAAAAAATATTTTTCATATCAAATAAAATTTGGATTTTTACTGTTTCATTGATTACATTTTATACTCGGAATAGCTCGGCCTAGTACGAGTATTGCACGACATGCTCTGATTTATATTGAAAATTTAGAATTGGGCAAATTACCAAGTTGCTCCTACCCCAAATGATGCAATTAAAATACTTAAAACAAGAAATAAATACAAACAGGGTATTGTTTATTATGTATTCTCGTTTAATTAGATGTTTAACGATTTTCATGTCTTAAGTGTATAAATGAGGTTTGACAGTAATAAAACTGTTAAAACTAACAATAAAAAATTGATACAGGTAGCACTGATTTATTGACAATTCTACTTTAATTTTTTGACCAGCAAAATTGATATTTCAATATTATCTTATTGAAGGCATGCATCAAAACTATAAATTGAATGTTTTTGCGATTTTATGGCTATAGATAAAAGACTTAATTTAAATAAAGACTTATGATATTATTCTAGCATTAAAGTCATAATACTCTTTGTTACTCGGTAGTACTAACACACGAGCGCACACATTAATACTAGTTGTATTTAGAAACTTATATTAAGCGTGTTTTGATGTAATTTTAGAACATTAAAACTTTAGGTATTATCATTCTAAGATAATTTATTTAAGTTTCTCTCTTAAATATTCTAAAAGTACAATATTTTTGGTTAAAAGTTATATGATGGCTTTCGTCATCTCACCTTATAGTTGGAGTAAGATAACAAATATAGCAATTTTTAAGAATACTAAATTTTTTAATAAAGAGGATGAAAGAGACAATAAAAAAAATCACGGTATTAAGTAGGATATGGAAGAAGTTGTGGTGCAAAAATTAGATTTTAAATCTATTCCCAAAAGTCAAAAAAAAAAAACTGTAGAAGCTTAATCTTGCTATTTTATCCTGACTTATCATTAAAATAGATAACTTTATGAATTGAAACAATTAAATAATATTAAATTATTTTTGTTGTCAGAGACGACCAGTAATTTTTGAAAATGCACCATTTATTATATAAATTTAAAAATAATGATATCATTAAGTGTGAGAAAATATTAGTAGGTTTAGCGTAACCATTAAACCTCCAATTTATTCCAGTGATTATCGTTGCACAAAAGATATTAAGCAAATTTTTTTTGCAAGTATCAAAAAATATGCTATAAACAATATAACTTTGTTTTCTGTGTATTGGCACTATTAACATTGATATTTTTTTCAATTACCAATGATAAAAATTGTAATTTAGATTAATACATAATAGAAATTAGGTATGGCTTTAGTTTTAATTTTAGCTACTACAGATCCTTCAGAAATTACGATTTTTTTTTTCTTTGAAATAAAAAACAAAATTTATTACATATATGATTCTCCACTTTTAAAGTCGTAATAAAACCTGATTAAAAAAACACAAAAGTTTATGCGATGGCCGGGAATCGAACCCGGATCAACTGCTTGGAAGGCAACTATGCTGACCATTACACCACCATCGCATGTTGATACAGTAAAGAAAAATATTATATATAAATCTAAAAACTATATATATTTTTATATGAAGTNTTATGAAGAAAAATATTATATATAAATCTAAAAACCATATATATTTTTATATGAAGTTGATAATACTAATGTAATGATAACTGCTGTATATACGATAATGGCATTAATTTTCTTAGGATTTGTTGGAAAAGAATAATTTTCTTTTGTAAATATATACTAATTTTTTATTAAAATATATTTTAGACCTAATAAAATGAAAATAGAAACAAATCCTATGTGTGTGTATTTAGTGAAAAACGACAGTAAAGGAGATAAATTGTTATTTCGATATCCATTTGGTAATATAAATGGTACAGTAAAAACAAATACAAATGAACCTTGTAAAAGATCGTTACATAGAAATGCATCACTTGATGGAGTTTATTACTCACAAGAGCAAACAGATTTTCTTGATGATGTTATATCTAGTTTATTTGCAGTAAAAATGGATTTGTGTGATCGTAAATTTGAATTAAAAGTAAATAATATTCGCTTTATCGGACATCCTATACAAATACAAACTGGTGGTAGTAATCGAAAAAAAAAACCAGAAAGTCCTTCAATTATTTTAATTAATGTTGTATTCGCGTTGGATGCTTTTGCTCGTCGCCAAATTTCTCACTGTTACTATGATTTGAGTAAAATGATAGGAATTGCTCTTGGGCATGAAGAAAAACGATGCTCATATTTATCTAAACAAATAAAAAATATGTTAGCCATACATGATTCTATGGCTTCAGGGTAATATTTGTTTTATTTATTTTTCTATTTATTATATAACTAATTTTTCTTTAAACATTTTAGGTCAGATGCTGAAGTAGATACTATTACTGAAAACAAGCATTTTGAAAAAATTTTAGAAGAATGCTCTCTTGCTCAAGATTTAAAAAAAGTTTATAATGATGTTTGTGCTGATGGTATCATTAGATTAAAAGTAAACAATTGGATAGAAATAAGCTTTTGTTTGCCACATAAAGTTCATCATTTTTATAAAGAAGGACAGTACTTTGAACCCGATTCTATAAACAAGTAAAACGTTTCTTTTTGTTTGTCATTAAAAAAAAATAACTGATATATTTGAAAGTATATTAGAAAGTGAGAGTAAATTTCAATATTAACAATTCATAAGAAAATCCCTAAGTCAGTTACTTTTAAGTTTTCTTAATGGGTTTTTGGGTAGAGNCCTTTTAAGTTTTCTTAGTGGGTTTTTGGGTAGAGTACTAGGTGTGAATTGAGACTAAAGAATCTTATAATACGATGCATTAATAAATAGAAGTATTTTTTTGCAGTTGTAATTTTAAATATTTACAATAAGAACTCATATTAAATGTATACAAAATCTTATCAGATATATCAAGAAAAACTTGCTGTAGTTAATTACTGCTGTGCCTTAAACTTTATGTATAGTTGAATATACCATTTTTATTTTTCAATAATATAAAATATTTATTATGTATCTTTAAGATGTTTAAAAGGTCTTAGACCTTACCATGGATTACTATTAATGACAGACCGTAAAAAACTATTAGAAAATTTACCTACTGATTCTAGTCCATCAATTGTGAGACTAATTAATATGTATAACCCAGTTAAAAGTTTACAAACATTATCTGCTGATGCAGATCTCACCATAGCCCAAGTAAGAAATAAAAATTAGTAGTTAATTTTTATTTAATTTTAAATCTGTCTAAATATCAATAGGTATTTAATATTGCTGGTCATCTGATATATTGGGGAGATGCCATTGTGATATTTCCTTTATGTGAAACAAACATGTATACAATTGCTCCAAATGTTCCTACTGAACGAGAGAGTAAATTTGCTATTGAATTTGAGGATAAATTTCCTGATCATAATTTATTAGAGGTATTTGTTAAAAAAAATTATATTTAATTTGAGTGTAATTTACTACTTTTAAAATTAATATTTTTTTTTGAAACTTAGGTAATGAGTGAATTTTCACTTCCCACGTCATTGCAGTATAAAATGTGTCCGATAGAAGACAAAAGTAGCAGTGCTACAATGGTTCAAATAGTTATATGGTTATTACAGCGCAAAATTTTATTACAATTGCATACATATATATATTTTATGCCAACTAATAAAGGCCTAACTGTAGTAAGTAGAAATATTTTTAATATTTACAATTTTTTTAAATATATGAGATTTATTATTTTTGTGGCTATCTTCCAAAACTGATATGTCAATTTTATTAAGTTTTCAAGAGAACAAATACAAATTTATAATTTCCATATTATCTAATGTGATTTATCACTTTTAAATTTTAAAATAAAGCTTATTGATAACATTTATTTTTCTATGTAATTCAAAAAAATTCTCAAAACATAATTTTTGTGACATAAACTTTTGGATGTAAGCCACATATTTATACTAATTCATATGTCTACCTTTTTTTTTTTTATATATACAAAAATATAGGCAAATGTCTATTCTGAAAAAATGATTGATAATGGACAACCATCTGAAACTCCAATGACTATCTATCAAACAGGTTCAGAGAGCTNGGACAGCCATCTGAAACTCCAATGACTATCTATCAAACAGGTTCAGAGAGCTGGTTTAATTCATCTGTTTGTAGTGCCGAAGAGTTATTTCATAGTTTGACTGAAGAAGAGCAGTCAGCTTTGATGTGTATACCAGCATCTGCAAATCCTTATGATTTTCAACTGCTTATGAGATTATTAAAACAAGGTTATTTTACTGGTGAACATCATTTAGAAGAAATTATGTATTTAGAAAATCTAAGGCGGTCACAGTTACTACAACTATTAGACAAATTTAAAGATGTTTTAGTATTAGTAGAAATGGAAGATCCTGCTATTAGCAATTTTTACTCCCATTAATAAAGTTGATAAAGTATAATAAAATAATTATTTATAAACTTACTTCAATTTAATCAAAGATTACTATTGACATCTTCCAATAAACCTTTGGTAACTTATACTATTATATAATTACTTTTTTAACATTTAATTTTAGGTATTTATTGTAAATTATAAATTAGTTTTGTACAAAGATATATCTAATTATTTTATTATTAAATTGAAAAAAATGAGGTATCATAGTCTAAATTATTTAAAATGAATACTTGTTAAATTTTTTATTATAAGGGTCAAAATACTTCTTCATTTAAATAACTTTTTTTATTAATTTTTATATAAGTCCAATGGAAATATAATCTTTTAATTTATTAAAAATTATACTATACATTAGAAATCTTAATATTACTAATTTAGTATCTCATATTTAATTGTATGATTACCATCTCAAAATAAATACTATTGGCCTATAAATTTTCTATAGATGAGTTTAAAAAATCAACAAAAAGCTAAAAATATTAATATACATGAAAATATATTAACCCATGAGTGCTAAAAAGATCAGCCTAGTCTCACTTCTACTTCTAGTTCATCTTTATATTTGTGATGGTTTATTTATATATTTATATTCAGATTTTTTTTTAAATAAAATAGTTATTACCTAATTATTTCGTGTTTTTTAAATGCGCGACAGAACTAGAATTTAATAATAGTAATTAAAAAAATTATTGATAAAAATAATATAAATTTTATTATGCATTGATTAGTTCAAAATGGCAATAGTATTTTTAAAAGTTTATTTTAAATTTTATGGTGTTTACATGTAGTTTTATGATTGTAAATTGTTGTACGATTATAGATAGTGTAGTAAGTTCTTTGTGAATTATTCCTCCTATTAAGTCCAATTTTAAATAACAAAATATATCACATGAAATATTATTCCAATGACCAAAAATTAATGCTTGCCAATTTACATCTAATGGCAATTTAAACCTCTTACAAATGTAAATATAACTTAATCATCACTCTTCGTCCAGATATTTTTGACTCAGTATTGGTGTTCCGATTTTCTTAATGTTGCACATTTCTTTAACTAAGGGCATGATATTTATTTATTTTTTTTATTTATACATCTTAAGGGTGCATATTTCTATAACTGACTCTGTATACGAATGACACTTATTATTTACTTTAAAATATGATTCACTGTTACTCTGTACAGAACAAAATTGGAAAATTAAACGATTTTACTATACATTAGTATATTTGGTTTATTAAACTAAAATGTTTGTTTTTTATGGTACACGTTATCGTTGTTGGTGATTCTTGTTGAATGCTAAAGTGTGTAGTGAAAAGGGTGCCACGTAGACAATTCGCAGTAGCGATATCATGCTGGTACTTCTGCCGACTTGTACCAGCGCCACAGGGTTTCTGCCTCCGTTGATTGGACGATGTTCATTTTTCATTTATTGGCACCCGGACTGCCAGTTAAAAACATTAATTTTACACATACGCACACTTGAGTGTAATGGCACTCAAGATTCATGACCACAAAACTCAACGTGTATATTATATTTTTATTAGCCGCTTTTATCTTCCTTGGGTATATAATACGAACGTGCATCGAACTTCACCTTTATGTGTAAAATATTTTCTGTAGGCACACCAACTTTTGCTGATCATACGAATTATTAACTGCTGGGCTTGTCGGTATTTATTTCGCTTTAAATTATTAGTCCACACATAATATATAGTGTGCGGCAAACACAGACGCTGCTTAATCTATCCGACCAGCTGTTTTCTACCGCCNGACTTAATCTATCCCGACCAGCTGTTTGCTACCGCCTGTATGTATTTTTTTGTGTACATTATTAACCGCGTATATAATTAGAAAAAAATTTTCGACGGATTATCGTTAAATAAAATAAAGATCCATTAATATTAAATGTAATATTCGGGCACAATTTATGAAAATTATTGCTTGTAATTAAATTCTTACAGTAAATTTACGTTTCCAACTATGAAATGAGCCTTCTTAGAATAATGTGCTACATTGTCCGAAAAAAAAATAGTTAAAAAATATTTATCTATTAGATTAGTCTGACATATAATTTTTATTAATAATAGTTTAATTTGATTTTTAAATGTTTATAATAATGTTAATATCGCGTTAAAATTACTGAAAGTGATTTTGCTGTCCTAGGTTGGACATGTTTCACTTAAATAAAGCACAGATTAAATATAAAATGTATTAAATATATATATTTAATCAATAAATTAAGCAAAGTTTAATAATTAGCTGGAAAAAAAACACTGATCAACCTAGAATCCAAGAATGAAATGACATCATAGGGGTGGTAAGTGGGGATTTGGAAGAATTTAGCCTTTCCAAAATTCTAAATTTATTATGTTACTATATAAAAATACAATTTTAAGGAAGTAAGAATTAAAAATACATTTTAACTTGTAAAGTGCATGTCAGTTCTAAAAATGTGAAGAAGTATTTAAACTGTCAATGAAATGAAGAAAAAATATCTATAGTCGAATAGCATATAGTAGAAAAATAAAATTTCTCATTCGTTTAATAAAATGAAAGTATAAATTAATCGCATTCAAACATAAAATATGTATTTTTATCAAGTGAAGCTTTATTTTTACATTATTTGTAACACGATATTCACGTGGTTACATTATAATGCGCTAATGGCAAAGAGTGAGTTCTTTGTACAGTGTAGATTTTCTTAACGAATTATTATTATTAAAATATTGTGTCGCAGCGATCATACGTCGTACTCTATGTGACCGGTCCTGTTTGACGGATTACATTTCAACCTGTAGGGATAAGATCAGTATTTCCCGTGGAGCAAATGCCCCACGTTTTAGTATCATGTGTACACTCCATTTGAACTTAAAAACTAATATTGTTGTTATTATTATTGTATCGTTAACGCGGTTCACATTTCAAACGGCCATAATGAAATATTGTCAGCAGACTACCGATCTGGAATTCGGTAATGGTTTTCTCAGTTCGTCTGAACTTTAGGGTGCGGGGTTGATAGACGGAATTCATAATACTGTTACCTACAAACAGAGTTATACCCACAAATACATCTAACCAATGGATCTTACCGAATCAAATTTATACAATAAAACGTAACACGTGACACATCGTCGTTGGGCCGATTTAACGCAACGGGTGGCCGCTTAGCTATTGTCGACTCGCACGGCGATTACCATTTCATTATTTTACCGATTGTCAGCTTCTCTAAACCTCTTTTTCCATTTAGCGATATCGGATCGCAATACTAAAACGTGACCCAATNGGATATCTAAATGGCAATACTAAAACGCGACCCAATTGTTCTACCACTTTTTTGACAACTATGAAAATATGAACACCTAATTGGTCAAAGATGTCGATACCTTTTTAAATTATTTCTGGTCTTTAAAAAACTATTTGATGAAAAAGTTAAATTAATTTTCTATACTGAGTGTTCAGCAAGTAAGGAACCTGGTTTCTTTTGTTCTCATTGCTTGTAACAACTGACTTGTTTCCTCACTCAATGAACACCTTGTATATTTTTGACATCACAGAGCCATAGTACCTATAGGTATTGTTACTTCAATGCTTTAAAAAATTACCCTCCAACTGAGTAATACCTTATTTTGAATTGAGAAACTCGTTAAGAAACTAAAAGGAAATGAAACTGTAGTTATATAAACTAATAGCCGTGTAACATATATAGGCGCCGGAAACAAGTTTTTTTTTAGTTAAATGAAGACATTCATAGTTATTAATTACATCTAACATTTTAAATGGTATGATTACATTTTATGTTACACTACATGTTTATGTAAATGACAACATTGATTATTTAAAATAAAGTAATCAATTAATGAAGAAAATATAGAAGCGAGTTTCATTCAGAGACATATTGTACTACTTAACTTAAATAAAAAGGGTTCATTTGAAAAATATGACTACTAATAAGTACTAAAAACAATTAATTACGTACAGTTGAGTAAAAAAACGTAGAAAGATTATTGTAATAGTTTTTCTACGTATTTTTATTAGTAAACATTGACTCTAGTGTTAAGGGTTAAAAACTAAAATTAGCTTTTCTGAATGAGTTTTGGTTTGAGACTTAAAATAAATGTTTTCTAAGCTAACGTATATGGCAAACTTGAAATCCTTTTGAGTACTTCACTTGTGAACTTATGGAATTCCGTTATGGGTTAATAGCTGTATTAAATCGAAAATAGTGTAGGTGCCTAAACAATTACTTATACCGACAATACTACGATGAAATGAAAAATGCATCAGCAACAGTGTTGATAATGGAGTATGAAAACATATACACAGGCAATAGTCAATAATGAAGGACTATTCTATAATATTGAAATGTAATAGTGTTTTTATGCTAAGTAGATTTTTGAAATTATTCGGTCTTATTTTGCGTGGGATTTGTTCACGCCATAGAAGATTATCCATCCAATAATGTAAGTCTTAGATAAATATGTTACATATGATAGTTACAACAACCATAAATTGTATAAATGAACCACTAGTAATGTAGTNACAACCATAAATTGTATAACTGAACCACTAGTAATGTAGTTGATCTCAGATTATTTTTGATATTATTAATCATTTTGGAAAATATAACGTTGGTAACATATATCGGTAGGCATTATGTATTCATGTCAAATTGAATTTTTCAAAAATTAGATCCAGAAAAAGTACGTGTATCGCTATATAATGTAAATATGATACTCGACGAATGCAATTTAAACGATTATGTGATTTTTTTGCCACAATATTTTTGGTTTAAAAATAATAAATATATCTTTGATGCTTTGTACAAACTATTTGAGTAAAAATGCTAAATTAATGACTTAAAACATTGAAAAACTTAAAAAAGATTGGATTCTTTTGGTTCAATACTCATAAGTCGTATTGATAACAGTTATCTTATTGGTATTTAATATTTTCAGTTAATTAATCGTTTGGTACAACTAGCTCATATCTACTTGTGATTAAATGGATTATTTACACGTTTATGACTTTTGTCGTTTGTACTAAGCATCAACCAGTTATAATTATTAATATTACTTGGTTTTTATCAAAAAAAAATTATTTTATTATTTTATGTTAGTAATATAAATTTTTGAGAATTGATAAATTTCGATAAATTTTACAGTTATTGAAAATTTGGTGTCGATGATGAAGATATTGATTGAGTAATGCATGAATTTGTAGAGAATTAGATGCAAGGAAATAGGTAATGAAAAATTATAATAATTTAATAACACTATCGTGATCAGACGTCGGAGGTCTGTCGGATTAAGTCATCAAACGGCGGCGGATACGGTCGTGACGTATATGCCATCCAAAAATCCCAAGTGAAAAATATGTACTTATAAAATTATTAGTCGTCTAATCTTTTTGTACATCAAATTATTTCATTATGAATTGAGATCCGCCGCTGTTGTCGTTATTCTGGCGTGGAAATTAAATGGTAGATCACAGTAAACAATTAGTATACGTTGGCGCTTAAGGGAAAATGCGGCGGCGGATACGCCCAAGGTTTATATGGGAACTCGGGGTCAGCGAGGGGTCGACGGTTGAAAAAAATTAGGCAATCCGAGAAATGCCCGGGGCATTTTGGATT